ACCACTTAGGTTCACGATTTGTTCATCCAGTCATTTGGTATTTTAAAAAAAATTCGTGGACTGGCCAAATTTAAAGTATTTTGTTACTTTTAACGCTCACTATTCAGTTGATGGAGAATAATTGAGGGAATTATTTGGAAAAGACAGGTTTGTTAAAGATAAGATAGAGATCCCAAGGGAAAAGATGTTTATCACTATACTGCTTCTGCGTGCTTGGATTTTGAACAATAGTTATACAAGGCTGCAAAGCACACAATTTTTCACCTCACTGTAGCGAGGAAAATGGTAGATGTAAGAAAAACAGTTCAACTATAACAAATCAGTTTTAATAAACAAAATTAGTTATCGTTGTCAATTTAATGTCAACAATAAACAAATATATCAATGGATTTATATTACATAAATAATGTACGACAAATGGCGTAGTTGAACGTATCATTAGGTTTTTTTTTTCATCGAAAGAAAAAGTTAGGTGCACCACAGTCCATCGTCAAGTTCGAATTTCAAAAATCTTTTCCACGCCAGGGCGGAAAAAACGCGCTTGAGCGCAGATTTCTAGTGAGAAAGAAAGCCTTTCCGAGCTAGTGAGGGGAAAAAGTTATTGTTTATGAATTTAGCAATTTAGACCTGCAAGGTTGTAAGTAATTTAAACAAATAACCCTGTGTATACTTAATGTTGTACAATTACATCACACGATGAAGAGACACAACAATCGCGGTGTGTCAATTCACAACTTCGTTTGATATTCAAAGCCCTTTACAATGATTGCAATTCGTACGGGTCGTCCCACTGTGCGCCTACGCTACGTTGTGAAATGTCGCATGCGCAGCGTGTTACATTGCCATGTCGGTGTGAGAGCCAATGATTGGAACGCAATAGACACGGTGATAGGAATGTGATGAATCTATTAACACGATACGGCGAAGGTTAAAATTTAACTTGGCGACCTAATATCAAAGTGAGTTATTAAGAATAGTTCTTCTGTTGTAAATGCTTTTGCCGAACGAATACGAACAATGCGAATTAAAACATTTTCTTCAGATCAACAGGGATAGTCCCATGGGACTTTACAGGTAGGAATTAGGGATGCACGATTGTTTGCTTTTAATCGATTTTTTTAATCGTAATGGATCATTGTGCCTTTGAATCAATTAATTAATTTTGATAAAAAATAATAGTGACAGCTTTTCACAATGTTAAAAGTTCTTTCAGGATATACTGCTACCTTACCTATTTCTACCGCCAAGCAGTCACGTTTAGTATTACTGCGTTTCGGTTTATAAAGGGTACGGGTGCTGGCGAAATTACAGGTACATGGGACTTGTGAACTTATGTCTTAGGGCGACGGGCGCAGTGGCAGTGCCCATAAGATCTTTGCGATTTAAAGCTTTGAGTGGCACACGACTCGTTCGTCCCGTCACTTGATATTATAAAAAAAAAATTTATATGGCATACATTTATTTCTCTCGTGACTTTGGGTGTACTTTGTGGTTGTCTATCTATGTGTGTGTCATGGCACCAGCGATACAGGGTTTTGCTAGTGCAGGGCTATTAGTGTGTGTCAAAACGAAACAAATAATAATAGTAACACTTCTCGCTAACAGATTAACTCTTTCACAACGAGCTTATAAATATTAAATACTTAATTCTATTTAAGATAGAATATATTCCTACGTTATCTTATAGCGAGGTATTTCAAACCGAGCCTAAATTTTAGGAGGTGAGGTGTTCGCGAAATTTTAGGAGGTGGTCGCTTCTCACGTCCCAGAATTCGCGCGGTAAAAATTAATACGAATAAAATAAGGACAGGTGGAGAAATTTGCCACAGATCCGACGTCGACATGCGCCCGATGGCGATTGACAGGGCAGCGGGCGGCGGCGTGTCGTTAAACCACTGGGCAATTTTAAATTTTGGGATAAATGTCCATTTAATAGTAATAATAGGGCTTCCGTTGAAAGCCAAAATTTAGCAGGTTCTCTGTATAATAGGAATCAAGAGTCTATATCACCTCAAATGGCTTTAGTTTATTCCGCATAACAGTGAGAGTGTTGAATCAATCGCTTTGGAAAAAATATATAGTAAAATGGAGAATATACACTGATTACTATACGGTGTGAAAACACGATTCCTATAAATGTTTACTTTACATATACCAATATATTTTTTTATATCAACTGAAATAAATAGAACACGTATAGTAAATTATATACATTTTTCAAATGGCTTCAATTTAATTTGTAAAAAAATAAATGTCCCTGTCGCTCAACCCAAGTAAAATGAATTGTATTAGTACGGGAAGAATTTGAATTCGAGCTTTAGTAGTATAGACTCTTAAAGAGAAATATCCCCATATAAAAAATGATGTGCAAAGTTAGATAATAGAATATCTAGAGAATAGAATAGAAGAGAATAGAATATCTATTCTATTCTTAAATAATTCATTTCCGACTTTTATTGTAGCCTGTTTTCAGGATTTTATATTATACTTTAATTTTTTATGATATTAGCACATTCTTAAGACAATATCTTTAGGTGTATCGTATTTTTTTGAAAATAACGGTATCTAATAGTAAATTATTTGTGACGATGCGACCTCCTTCTTCGTCATCCCGCCTTTTTATGACCTTTGCTCTGGTTCCTGGCCATTTATTTTCAAATTTTGAATCGTTCTTTAATTCCTTTACCTCGCCATTCTCATTTTGTTTCGTTCCGTTGTCATTCTCTACTTAACGTTTGAAGCGAGCAGTCCTGCTCGTCTTTACCACTAATTTGCTTCGTTTACCGGTTTCCGATTTTTAACCTTGTAACCTATCTAATATGTTTCAAATCAAGTAACTTAACTAATATTTGGAAAATACGACCCGTTCGGGGTAAGCTCTTTACTGACTCACACATGTTTCGTAGCATTTAAGTAGGGAGTGTTTTTTAATATTGTACCTGTTTTTTGTACTATTTTTGTTGTTACAGCCTTTCTTCCTTGCTTCAACTTTACTTTATACAATAAATTTACGTGAACCGAGTAATCTCTTATATTGGTCCTTATTGTTTTTTACAACCCTTTCAACCTAAACCATTTGAACTAGCAAAACAGTTTTTCTCGCTTCTCCAGTGACTCGACTTAAAGAAGTCAATCGCGTTACGAAGTTTATAAAACTGGTACAAGTTTTGTCGGAAAAGTCGACCTGAGCATGTGACGTACATATCAACCCAACCGCAGACTTCCGTTTAATAACAAACTGCAGAAAACATGTACGTGCATAAGGAAATTAATGTCTTTCTCCACACATAATACTAAGTTACGCCATGAGTTACGTGTTGTAGTTGCAATCGATCAAACCAGTTTACGCTATCTGTGATATACTTGTAGATGATAGAAAGTTTGATTTGCATTCAACAGAGAACTTGCAATATAATGTGATCGTTTTATAACTACGATGGAGTATAACAGTTACTTAAAAATTCGTATGTTTTATGTTTGCATTTTTATGTCTACCAAAGACCATAGCTTAACAGTTGCAGTGCCACTCAGAACTTTAAGGCCGCGTTCCCATTATGTCGTGACGACAGATAGTCGTGCAGTTTAAAGTGTTGTGGGTTGTATATTTAAATGAAGTTATTCACACATAGAACAACACGATTAAACTGGTTTGAGCTAGAACGACAGTCGTCTGACGATAAATAAATAGCCACGAAAAAAATGTGACAACAGACAATCGCAACTTCAAACGATTCTGTCGTGCAAACAACAAGGAGGCTGCCGTGAACCGATAAATTGTCATCACGATCTAGTGGAAACAGCTAGATACGACAGTCGCTCAACGATAAAATAAACGTCCACGACACGGTTACGACAGATAGTTGTGACATGGGAACAGGCTAGACGCGACAGCCGTTCAACAATAAATAAAACGTTACGATATAATGGGAACGCGTCCTAAAGTGAAAAGATCTGATGGGCACTGTCCCCGCGTCTGTCACCCTGAAATATATGTGATAAGTACCGTATGTCTGTAATTTCACAAGCAAACTGACCCTTCAATACCGGAACGCAGTAATGCTTACATTACTGCTTGGCGGCAGACATAGAAAATCTTCAAAATAGCGAGAGTCAAATGTGCTTCAAACGTAGTAATAACAATAATAATTTAATTATTAATAATAATAATAATAATAATAAGAAAGTCCTTCGATCCGCTCGGGAAAGAATTTTTTCTGAGTGTTCGATCTTTGTATTAATAATTATAACAAACTAGTGGAGTACTTTCACAAATAAAATAATTGAATATCAATTCAATAAAAATTTAATTAATAATAATTTAATTTTTTCGCAAATTACAGAAGCACAAAATTTCTAATTGTCAATAAAACATGATATTGCAATCGGCGACCATGTCTTTTAGACTAGGTGAACCTGTATCTCAGAGACAGTAATTCAATGTTGTAAAGTTTCTTTTTAACCGACTTCAAAAAAGGAGGAGGTTCTCAATTCGACTGTATGTTTTTTTTGTATGTATGTTACGCGATAACTCCGGTAGTTGTGAACCGATTTTCATGATTCTTTTTTTTTGTTGGAAAGAGGGTACCTCCATAGTGGTCCCATTTAATTTTGAAGAAAATCATCCATCTCTAAGGGTGGCAGTTCGCGTATGAAGATTCATTTTTATAAATAGTGCCTAAATTTTGTTATAAGGAGCAATTATTTTAATGGTTGATTTTACTATTCTCCAATTCAAGGCGTTTTTCTCTCTCAATATACTTTGAGTAGTGACAACCGATTTTTATTATATCCTGTGTCAAGTCCCGTATAGTGGCGAACTAGGGGATAAATCCGGGCTTGCGCACTTTCCGATAACCGATTTCAAGAAAAAATTGGCAAATAGATGTAATTCCATGTACTTTTGAGGTCTGTTTTTTTAGTACTCTGTACTGAGATTATTTCTATTATGTAACGTGTTTCAAATTACAGGTTTAACAAACGATGAATTGTCTCTATTCCAGGTGGAGTCAGGTCGAGAAGAACTGAAGAAGGAGCGAGAGATTATGCAACTGGTGGCAGGGCTGCAACTGAGCGCTGACGAAGTAGACCGAAGGGAAATGGCGCACATGATGAGAGTGAGACATGGGCCAAGGTGTGTATGATACTCTGTTATAAATAATATATGTCTAACTGCCGGTCTCGAGGCTCCTATTCTATGGAAGACACCTTCAGAGCTAACACGATCTTCAAACAGATGCACGGATTAAACACGCACTTTTGTTTCTAAAAGTAGCACGTGGGAATTATTTGGGAATGACAGCGGTGCATATTTGAGCACTAACCTAGTGTTTATAAGGTATAATTTACAATATACAAGTAAAAACTTAAGTACTGGTAACCGAAAAAACAATCGTTTTATCGTATACGGTTACATCTTGAGATCTGAATAGCTTAAGGATAGATAGGCACAGAAGAAAAAAGACAATGGAAGCGCCTTAGGCGTCGATTACAATCAGATCGCTGTCGCCAAAACTCACACATTCATCATTTGAAATGCTATGAAATCTTGATAATGATTGGTCGTAGTTTCTAATTAAAAAAAAAACAAATTCTGAACTGTTAATATAATTTAAACTTTATGCCGTTGGCATATCGTTGAAAGTTCAATATTATTAATACGTATTATTGGAAGTTACGAAATTTTGATTTTATATTGAAATTTAAATCAATGTGCATCTAGCGGGTAACAGTTAAACGACAACGAATTTGAGATGTTTACTTAGTTCTCCAAAAAGAAGCTACCATATTGCAGCGGCACAAGGTTTATTTCTTGTAACAAAAAAATGATTACGATAAACAGAAAATTTAAAATTTAATAAAAATAAATAAAATTGGACTTAATGATGGTACGAAACACCACCATAAGTAATATTACAAGTGCAACTATCATTTTTGCACTCTCAAGTAGCGAAATAACGTATTTTTCTACGATGTTGACTACGACACGACCATAACGTACAAAGCGAAAATGGCCAATTGACCTCAAGTTTTACGAACGAAAGCGGAACTTTACGAACTGTTGGCACACATGCCACACAAACTAAGCATTTCTACTGTACTCATTGTTCTGTGGCTATTGGTATTGATGCTCATTGCCAGTAAATAACCATTATTGGAAAAATACTCGGTAACAGGTGTTTTTCCCGATACAGTCTTTTCCTCTCTGTTCGGTGATGAATAGCCTTCACGTACACGTTATAAGAAGTTCTAACTGACCAATCACGTGGCTTTAATATTATGTGCAAGCTATAAAATGTGACCAACGTATTTACTTTTTGTTAAGGACGTGTGTGGACTAAAATCGCACAATGTTTTTTCGCTTCTTTTTGCACAGAAATGAAAGCATTTTTTGACTGACTCAAGCTAATTTCGCGTCAATAATATGCGTACTACGTCCGATCTGAATCCAAGAAAATATGGATATCGTATGTACACCTAGAGATTCATAAATATGGCCATTCTGGTGCTGAGTTATTTGCAGCGTTTAAGTCTCGTTAACTATGTGTCCTTTCAATCGTCTTTAATGCTGGAGAAGTAAAGAGTTTTGGGTAGACGTTGATCACTTGACTCTATTCAACGTAGGGCTGTTCGTATTATCGATTTAAAAAACGACATTAAAAAAAAGACGTTCTCCTGATGAACTAATTTTTCAGAGGAACATTTTATTATAATTACGATGAACTAAGACAAGATAGTAAGATTTTCGTTTTCATTTTATATACATATGTGTCGATACCTGCTCCTTCTCTCCATGCGGCCCCCACCGCCAGTTCCGACCCGGGTCGTACGCAGTATGCAAGCGATAATACAATTAATATTGTAGTTACTTCGGTCCGCGAAAATGACGATACGAATACTCGTTTTCGGACTAAGTGCGCAGTCCCTCTTGATTCGAAACTGATACGGATCGGACCTAGACGTAAACACATACTAAGTGTGGTAATTTCCTATTGCTATTTTCGTTCCGGATCTATTTTATAGACAACATCCTCAAAATCGTCAAGCGCCACATTTTTTAAAATTCAGCGTAATCTTGACGCCTTACAATTTTTGCTAATTAGAGATCACCATTTTGTCATAGAGTTGAGTTCCGCAAGTAATGTGTAGCGCTAAAATTACGTAGCTCAATTTTGCTATTATCTGTCGCCCGTCCACTACAGAGAAAATCCTCCCTAGAGCATTAGAATATTCGTTCCCAAAAATGAAACTCTTTCTAAAATAAATATTGTTTTTATTTTACAGATAACACCACGCCCTGCAATTGGTGCCTACAGCTGTTTAAAGAGAGGTCATTCAGCAAGCTTAGTCTCCTATGAATATCGATTACATTACGATTGCAAAATCGATTTTTATCTTCTTACTGCCACACACCAAAGTGCTGTCACTTTGATTTAATTAATATTTATGTAAACAACAGGTTATATTTTCAAAGGAATATTTTTACAGTTTGTAAGTGCACATTAGTGTGTGGCCCTCAACGCGAATGGCTCCTTTATTTGCATCACTAGAATAACTCCGCCCTGAGTTCAAAATACAAACAGATTCACTCGATTTTAATCAATTTATTGAGAAATCGATTTTACGCTACACGTACCGAGAATATTAATTTGAAGTAGTCACATGGTGTTGTGTTCGATTTTGTATTTAAAAACTGAAATTATACATTGTTTTTAATTATTGATAGAGATTTACCAGCAATGCAATAAATTACGTAATTTTATATTTTAATTGAAAGACTGCCAAGTTATTATGGACCACGCCATGTAGCGAAATACAGATTTAGTATCGTTTACATATCAATACGAACAATGAATACTGGTGTCAGTATGTCAGGGCCCAACAATAACTTGTTGGTCTACAAAAAGAGTCTTAAGCTGTCTTGAATAAAATTTTATTTTACATAAAGGTCGTATATGTCAATTCCTGTATTTAAAAAAACAATGCTTAGAATGTAATTACTCTTTTATTAATCAAACTTATAACGTGTTTAGTAATTAGATAGGTTTTATCAAATTAAAGTCAGCTTTATATCCGTATGAAATAGGTACTAAAGTGGAATGACTAATAAGCAATACAAAACTTTAATTGCACATTTCATAAACAGTTCGATATGTGAGTCTGTGCGCAACTGTTTTTAATATAAATAAATATATTCCTTATTGTGGACTTCAGTATCTTTGCAACAGGAGTGGAGATAATAAAATAAAAATCACAAATACATCCACAAATTCTGGAAATACACAAATACCACTATATATGTAATTACGAGCTCTCCCCATTATCACTATAGTTGTGTTAATTAAATAGAAATTATCTAATTTAAGACTGTCTTCAAATTAGACAAAGAAATTACAGATCAAGTCAACAATTTGAAATACACACGTTATTCACGTAATCATTTTTGTGAAATGTGTAATTTAGCATTGTATTCCAAATAAAGCATTCCGAATTTTGTATTAATCGAAAGTGCCTTAGTAATGTTTATGTTATGATTATTTTAGAAATTAGCTGGTTTAATATAGAAAAAAAATACCTACATATCATCGCCACAGAGTGAAAACCTTGCATATGTTTATTGTGTATTTTACATGTTTTCACCGATTTTTATTGGAGTTCGTTCATTCATAAATATGTATAATTTAAGTAATTGAAATGCTAATTAGTTAAAAGTTATAAAAAATCAAAATCTAAAGATCTGCAACAAGCATATAGAAAAATTCGTAGTCTGCTGGTTCGTTCCGTAGGTCAGTTGGAAAAGCATCAGACACGGTATGGTGACGGCACTGGTTCGAATCCAGCAGGATCGAATTTTATTTTTGCCAACTTTAAATATTATTGTGTTTATTATGCTGTATTTTACACCACATTTTTATCTTTTGCCTGAAAAATTACATAACAAAAAACATACGAGGTATTCACTCTAAGAGCCAGCGGTAACCGGTGGCCTGCAAGGTAGGGAACATTAAATTTATCAGTGTATAAGAAGGTACTAAAATCTCTACCTAGATGTTACTAGCAGTCCAGAATGCCAAAAGATCCAGTACAAACAATTTCGACAACTCGATAACTTGACCCGTAGCTCAGTTGGTAAGAACAATACTACAGTGCAGTATGATCGTGAGTCCATCGAGTCGAAAAAGATTTTCTATGTGTTCGATCTTTGTATTAATAATATAATAAAAACTAGTACAGTTATTTCACAAAAAATCTCCGTAATACATTGTAAAAATAGTTACATTTCCTATCTGTAACAATCGCGAAAACCTGAGAACTCCATGTAAGGTATAAATTTCGATACTCTGAGATGCAGAGGGAAATTCAAAATTGAAATAGCATAAATATACATTGATAAATTTAATCTCCTCTGCCTTTCCCTCAGTCGATTTATGCTGGGCCTAATTGGACGATATGAACATGTATGTATGTTATAATAAATACCAACTGACGGCTTCAAAAACCACGTACACATTTCCCTACATCATAGTAAAATTGTACTGCTTGCTACCGTTTGCCAAGTCGAACATTTCATTGGTTCCTCGCTAAAAAAATACACCTCAAATTACTCCCATTAAGTACCGAAGTGGAGCGAAGAAGAACTATGTCTCAGTAACCAATAATATTGCGATATTTTGATTTAGTCCGAATTACGAGATTCTGTTTGTTACTGAAAGAGGTTTTCTACGCTCTGGTTGGGTAAATAATGGACATAATTGTGTTTTTGTCGATAGTTTCTGTTTTTGACTTGATTAATCCTAGTGCTTTATTTGCGCGAGTAGATAAGTAAAATACGTTTAAGTTTAACCATTTAAGATCCAGCAAAACACAATGGAAAAACACCAAAATCATTCCATTCAAGACCTTTGTGAACTTTATGGCTTTATATAAAGTTTACAATGGTCTTAAATAACATATAGGTCCTTATTATATGACACCCTAGAAGGACATAGCAAAGAAGGGCATATAAAGTAACATGTAAAACAATAAAACAACCTAAAAAAATTTAAATATCGACTGTGAACTAGCAATCGGTACTATCTCAATTTTGACAACATTAGTATTCCCTATCTACAAAAATACCCTTTTCATACAAAACTGAGAGCACACTTGATTGGGCCTGACTATAAAAATAAAGTAAATAGTAGTTATGTGTTAATTAAGAGCTAGCATATCGACTGTGAACTGGCAATCGGTACTGTCTCAATTTTGACAACTTTACAGGTTGAAGAAAAAACAGTTCGCGTCATTTATATAGCATCTGGTTTGTTAAATCAAAATACGTAGTTTTTAAATATCTTTATTACACATGTATGTGTGTATGCTACGTATTTTTATTTAAACAAGATACTACCTCAATTTTGACAACTTTACAGGATTATTTATGATTTTTTCCTGTAAAGTTGTCAAAATTGAGGTAGTACCGGTTGCCAGTTCACAGTCGATATGCTAGTTCTTAATTAACACATACGATAAAGTATAATGGGTTTTATGTTAATTGTGTAATGTACAAACTAACTACAATGATACAGTAGCTGTGGGGATTTCTGAGACTGCGCAAAAAATCTCTTCTTAATCTTACACAAAGTTCATTATGCTATAGTTACAAAAATTCACTTCCAGTCCATTCCGTAGCAATGTAAATTGAACCTTATTGTATCACAACAAGTTGGTTATATATTATTTTTATTTTTGGTATTACCAGCTACTAAAAAAAAATTGTACAAACACTAGAAATAGTCATTAAAACGTTTGTATATTATGAACATAGGCATAAGTGATTCGTTGTTGCATTGCATTTGTTTTCTATAACACAAACAACGATTTATTATATTTTTTTATTAAATAATTTTATTTGGTAAAGCTCAATTTATATCGAAGAGACATGGGCGTTTATCAATCTTGTATTTAACTAAATATAGATACGTACTTTGCCGCTGTTGTTGTGTTGTCGTGTTGAATTGACTTTTCTCCTGAAAAGATGTCATTTTGCATATCGTCGGGGATTGTGCAAATCCGCGTATGTAGCATTGGTAACCACCAAACCAAATTTCACAGGGATCTAACGTTATTAGGTACTTTGTTATTTCAATGGGTACGATTTTCATTTTTGCATATTTAAGCATTATTTTATGTTATATACGGACTGATAACAATAGATTCTCGTAAATCACGTTAATTTGGTTGCCACGGCGTTTACGCGTATTTGATTTGGCCACTAAATTACCGAAATGGAAACTCATAATTAAATGCTAGTTACGCGTAATGGCACTGTCCCCGATGTTATGCGGCCATATTATATTTTGCAATGCTTAACGTTATATTAAAAACATTATATTATATTATAAAGATGTGGTTATAAGATCAAATCTAGAAAAAGATAAGTATATAAAACATAAATCGATATCTCCCACGTAAGTTGTAAGTCAAAATATAATTTTTTGCTTGTTGACCTAAATATATCCTTTTTTATGTATATTATGGGTTCCATATTTAAAAGTTAAAAAATCACTCAGTGTTACGTTTACTTTAAAATATGAAACCTATAATAGACATAAATGAGGATATATTTGTTTAAAAATCACAAACTGGTATTTTGATTACAACAACTTACGGGAGGTTACGAAATATTCTAGCGGCTTCGCGGTGCACCGATTGTGTTCAAAGTTTCTTCGATATAAATTGTGATTATGGTACAGGGTCAAGAGCACGTCAAGCTTGACACTTAAGATGTAAATCCAACTTTATGCCGCTTACGATAAGAACGGTCCAAAGTTCAAAGTGTCAAGTTTGACGTGCTCTTGACTGTACCAAAACAATAAGTAGGTACGTAAGTATTTTTAGGTATATAGTTTCCCGTAGTCCGCATAAAATAAGAGGCCTTAAGTAATGAATACTTGAGTAAAACATTTTGTAAATACAAAAGAGAAAGTTCAGATTTCACATTCCATACGTAAAAAACATATTTGTAAATACACTATAAAAATACAAGGAAAGTTAAAAAAAATACTTTAGGCTATGAGTGCCATTAATGTTATTTCATTTATATCTTCATTTAATTAAATACTTATTATTTAAAAAAAGTATATTTTTGATTTGTATAATTTCGTACTCTTTGTTAGCGATTATGTAAAAAAAATTGTTCTCCTTGTATATAGGAACATTGAAAGTATAATTTTTTAGAATTTTTTTGATAATTTCAACGAATAGACATCGATGTATCCAATTCTTATTATCAATTATTATATTTTTTTAATAAATATAGTTTTTAAATAAGATTGTTTATTTTATTTCGACTATGCAGTAAAGAAAAAAAAAGGATAGAATAAGGCAAGCCGTGGAATATTGAATTTTTCAATTGAATATATTTCCCTTAGACTAAATATGGGACCTTGAATATTTCAGGGCACTTATGGGACTTTGTAGAATTGTATTGTTAACTGGCTTGAAAAAAAGGTTTTCAAATTGACAGTATTTTTTTGTTGTTTTTTGTGCCGCATGGCTGTGGGACAGCCTGTATATTTTCACTTTTATAATATTGCAAATGCCTGTAGGAGATAGTGACCACTTCCTCTGGCCTGGATAGCCCGCGTTAGGTGAAAATGTCAGTGGCTAACTCCAGCTGGATAGAAGGAATTTTTCTTTGAGTATGTTCGAACTTTGTGTCAATTATAACAACAGACTACTTTCACAAGAAATGTGTCAATTAATATCTCAGTACAGAGTACTAAAAAACCACACCACCGCAAATCACACCCAAAACCATGAGAGAAATAAATGTAGGCCATACAAATATTTCTCCCAGCCCGGGAATCGAACCTGGGACCTCTGCGTGGCAGTCCGGCATGGCCACGGAGGCAGTTGCCACTATGGAGATACCCTCTTTCCAACAAAAAAAGACTCATCAAAAGCGGTGCACAAATGCCGCAGTTATCGCGTAACATAGATACAAAAAAAAACATATAGTCTAATTGAGAACCTTCTTCCTTTTTTGAAGTCGGTTAATAACAACAGACTACTTTCACAAGAAATATACGAATACTCGTAAATATTGTAATTTATAAAAAGAGATATCTTGTCAGCCGCTGATAGCTGTAAAGGTACCTGATTGAGTTAAGGAAAAAATTTTATAGTTTTCTTACAGGTGGGGCAAAATAGCCGTTTTTTAACTAACTTCAAATATAGTACATTGTACAACAAGTGCATAAAACGCGTCATTTTACCCGAGACGTGTATGGATACTTAAGTCGAGGGTAAAATGGGGTTTATGAACGAGTTATACACTCTGCTTTTCACTTCGATTGCGAGGAAATTAAACAGCAATATTACAAATAAACGATTATTTAATAAAAATTTAATGTAAAATTACAACAATTAGACATATTTAATGTGATGGTTTTTTTATTTCATGCACTAGAGCATAAAATCCTATTTTATGCAGCCTACACCCAGCATAAATACTAACTT